AATAACAAGGCCAACAAGGGCAGCTGAGCTTCGGCCTTACGGTCTCCACTATCCTCTCCAAGTTGCTGCTGCTGCTGCCGCTGTTGCAGCTGCTGTTGCTGTTGCTGTTGCTGCTGCTGCTGTTGTTCTGCTGCTGCTGCTGCTGCTCACCAATCAGAGAGGACGTTCCCACCTTCAGCACCACTGTGAGGCTCTCTCGCCGAAATGCTGTTAGCAAATTGCTGCTGCTGCTGCTGCTGCTGCTGCTGCTGTCGCAGCTGCTGCTGGTGCTGCTGCAGTTGTTGCTGCTGCGGTTCTTGCTACTGTGAAACGCGCCGCTGCCAGTGTGTTGTGAAATCGGGGGGGTGCTGCTGTTGCTGCTGGCACTAGTGCTGCTGCTGCTGCTGCTGCTGCGGGTGCAGCCAGCTGCGTTTGCTGCGATCTCCATTCTGCTGAGCAGCAAGAGGCGTTGGGGTGTACGTACAGCTCGTGTGTGCAAGAAGTTCTGCTGCAACACGAAACAACGGCTGCTGCTGCTGCTGCCGCTGCTGTTGCTGCTGCTGCCGCTGCACTTGCTGAGGCAGCAGGCTATATAAACAGGCCTTCAAGATTAAATAGATGAGCAGCAAATGTGTGTGCGGCCCAGCAGACTTGTGGGGTCTGGCATGGCGAGACCACTGGTGCTGCTGCTGCTGCTGCTGCGGCTGCTGCTGCTGCTGCTGCTCTTGCTAATTCTGCTGCTGCTGCTGTTGCTGCGAGACAGCAAAGGCAAGACAGATGGGCAGCAAAACTCTCTCTCACTAAATGAAAGTTAACCAATAAGCAGCATTTCCACAGTCACCTTGGGGCCCTTGGGGTCCAAAAGCTAGGGTTTAGGGTTTAGGCTCTAGGGTTTAGGGTTTAGGGCTTGCGGTTCTGTGAAGCCGTGTGTGGGTCCTAGTGTTTAGGGTTTAGGGTTTACGCTCATGTCTAAATTTCTTTTTGTCTTCAGTTACTTTTGATTTAAACGGCATTTATTATTATACTAAGGGGTTTAGGGTTTAGGGTTTAGGGTTTAGGGTTTGGCTATCCCACGGTGGCGGTTGGTCTCGGGAGCAAGCGGCGAACGGAGGCGAATAGCCCTCCATAATTTATTTATTTATTTATTTATTTATTTATTTATTTATTATTTATTTATTTGTTATTTTATTCTTTATTTAAATTAATAACAAATAAAACAAAAAGCGAAAGAACAGAAGCCTCGTTGCTCCCGCCGCCGCCCAGTCACGGCAGCAGATCCAGCAGCAACACCTGCTGTCCGTCTCAGCTAGCTAGCCAGCTAGCCATTTAGCTAGCTAGCTAGCTAGCTAGCTACCTAGCTAGCTAAATAGCCACCTGCCACATCAGCAGCAGTCGAAATGGCCAGCTAGCCAGCTAGCTACCTACTTCTCCACGCCTCCGCAGGCGGATAGCTAGCTGCCTGGCAGGCTACCTAGCTAGGCAGCTAGCTAGCTAGCTAGGTAGCTAACTAGGTAGCTAGCTAGGTAGCTTGCTAGCTAGATATATAGGAAGCTAGCTAGACAGTTAGCTAGCCAGACGCTGCCGCAATGGCCTGCAGCTAGCTAGATAGCCAGCCACCTCCGCCACCACCGAGCTAGCTGCTGCTGGACTGCTCCTCACCCACAAGCCACGCACCAGCGCACTACTAGCTAGCCAGCTAGCTAGCTAGCTGGCTAGATAGATAGCTAGATAGACTAGTGGCTAGCTAGCTAGCTAGCTAGCTAGCTGGCTAGCCGAAGGCCAGCTCTATAAAGCACAGAGTGTCGATACACCTCGAGCCGTTTGGGCTGTGTTGGGGTGTACGTACACCCCAAGCACTTTCTGAAGTATTCAAATTATAAAGCTGTCTTTCGCCTTGGCGGCAGCTAGCTGCTTGGCTAGCCAGCTAGCTAGCTGCTTAACTAACCAGCTAGCTAGCTCCTTAGCTAGCCGCCTAGCTAGCTGCTTAGCTAGCTGCCTAGCTAGCTACTCAGCTAGCTGCTTGGCTAGGCAGCTAGCTGCTTAACTAGCCAGCTAGGTAGCTGCTTAGCTAGCTGCAGAGCTAGCTGCTTAGCTAGCTGCCTAGCTAGCTGCCGCGTACCAAGCTGCCTCACTAGCCTCCCCGGCGGCCGCTAGCTGCACAAGCTGCTGCTGCTGCCGGTGCTGCTGCTGCAGTTCTGCAGCAGCAACTCGAGGCCTGCGTGGTCCTGCAACAAACTTCTGCAGCGCGTTGCTGCAGCAGCTGCTGCTGCTCCCACAAGAAACGATTCAGGGGCTTTAACAGCCTCTTGCTGCTGCAGCTGCTACTGCAACTGCTGCAACAGCTGCTGCAGCAGTTGCTGCAACAGCTGCTGCTGCAGCAATTATCCCTTACATGCCCACGGGGGCATCATCAAGCTGCACAGAAGGCGCAGCGGCTGAAGAAGGACTGCTTAGCTGCTGCTGCTGCTGCTGCTGCTGCTGCTGTTGCTGCTGCTGCTGCTGTTCATGGGGCATCTCTGACTCTGGCGGGGTGTCTGTACACTGGCGCTGCTGCTCTATTTCTTGCGTCCCTTCCTGTGGCTGCTCCGCCAGCAGGGGTTGCTGCTGCTGCTGCTGTTGCTGCTGCTGTTGCTGCTGCTGCTGCTGCTGTTGCTGCTGCTGCTGCTGCTGTTGCTGCTGCTGCAGCTGCTGCTGCAGCAGCAACTGCTGTTGCTGCTGCTCTTGCTGCTGCTGCTGCTCCTGCTTGGGAGCTTCCTTCACTAGTTTCCGGGGAGGCCGTCTTGGGTCTTTCTTGGGTTTAGCACGAACTACCTTCTGCTGCTGCTGCTGCTGCTGGGGTTTCACTGCGTACTGCAGCAGCTGCTGCTGCTGCTGCATATGCTGGTCCATACTGTGCGACAGAGCGAGTTGCTGCTGTTGCATTAGCATCTGTTGCTGCTGCAGCAGTATGTGTTGCTGCTGCTGCATCCCGGGCAGCGCCAGCATGCGTTGCAGCAGCAGCTGCTGCTGCTGGTCCGCCCCATTAGCCAAGCTCCGCTGCTGCTGCTGCTGCGGCAGCAGCAGCATCTGCGGTAAATTCTGTGGCTCTTCTTGGCCTGCAAAACGCCGCAGCAGCTGCTGCATGAGCTGCGCTTGCTGCTTCTGTCCATCTGCAGCAGCAGCAGCAGCAGCAGCAGCAGTAGCAGCAGCAGGTTGTCCCTCCAGCTGCGCGCTAAGGCGCTGCGCTTGCTGCAGCAGATGCAGCTTCGAAGTCTCAATCTTCTGCCTTTCCTTGATCAGCAGCAGCCGCTGCAGCAAGAAAACAGCAGCAGCAGCAGCAAAAGCAATGAGCTGTAGCACCACAGCAGCTGCAACACCAGATCCCATATGAATCCAAGCGCAAGAACTCATGCAGCAGCACAAGCAGAAACGGCAGCAGCAACAGCAAAAGCAAAACAACAGCAACAGCAGCAGCAGCAACAGCAGCAGCAGCAGCAGCAAGGCACCTGCTGCAGCTGACGGTGCACGTAGAGCACTTGCTGCTCCTGTGGGCTTATTTCGTCTAAAATCCTCGAGTGCTGCAAACAAAAAAATAAAAAAGAATTAATTATGAAATAATTAAATTAATTATTTAATTAAATTCAATTTTAAAATAACTTCACTTTTAGGGAAGCAGACAAGCAGCAGCAGCAGCAGCAACAGCCTCCGCAGCAGCAGCGGCAGAAACAAAAATAGCAGCAGTAGCAGCAACAAGGTGAGTAGCAGCAACAGAAGCAAGGTGAGTAACAGCAGCAGCAACAGCAGCAGCAGCAGCACCTCGGGACAGAAGAGCAGAGGCTGCGCTGGAGCTGCTGCTGCTGCTGCTGCTGCTGCATCAACTGCGCAGCTGCTGAAGCAGAAGCGGGCCCCACACAGAAGAGCGCAAAGAGGATGCATGCGTTTGCTGCAGTAGCTGCTGCTGCGTGCTGCTGCTGCTGCATCTCGGGAAACAGCAGGAATGTCTTCGGTAAGTTCTGCTGCTGCTGCTGCTGAGCCAGCCAAAGTGGCTAGCTGCCGCACCCAGCTTTCTGCTGCCGCTGCTGCTGCTGTTGCGGACGCTGCTGCTGCTGCTCCTGCTCCTGCTGCTGCTGCCGGCAGCAGCAAGCGGCAGCAGCAGCGGTACATCAGCCCCCCCCGTCTCCCGCACACGCTGCACACATTTTTGCTGCTGCTGCTGCTGCTGCTGCTGCTGCGCATGCTGAGCGCGAGCGCTGGATCTCCCGCCGACGCCCCCGCCCCCGCTGCTGCCGCTCCCGCTGCTGCTGCTCCCGCTGCTGCTGCTCCCGCTGCTGCTGCTCCCGCTGCTGCTGCTCCCGCTGCTGCTGCTCCCGCTGCTGCTGCTGCTGCTGCTGCTTCGTGGGCCTCGAGAAGCCCCAAAGCAGCAGCAAGAAGATCACAACCCCACACTGGAGAAAGCTCAGGTGTACAGACAACCTTCACTGGGGGGGAAGGAGACACAAAGGCGCAAAACGCATGCACGAAAGAGGGGCTGTAGCTGCCCCCCACCCGCTGCTGCTGCTGCTGCTGCTGCTGCTGCTGCTGCTGCTGGCGGAAGCCGTGGGCCCCCCGCCAAAAAGCAGCACTAGCAGCAAATGGCTGCGCCGTCTTGAAGGCCCCGCCCCGCCGCGGGCACAGCAGGCAACCCACCTGCGCACCCAAACCCTAAACCCTAAACCCTAAACCCTAAACCCTAAACCCTAAACCCTACATCCTAAACCCTAAACCCTAAATCCTAAACTCTAAAGCCTGTGTTATTGACACGACAAAGCTAGCCTTCAGCTGCAAATCCTTCACGCTGCACTCGACGCGCTAAACCCTAAACCTTAAACCCTAAACCCTAGACCCTAGACCCTAAACCTTAAAGCAAATCGGGCCCTAGGAGAGACTACTGAGTTCGACTGCAGCAGCATGGAGGAGAAAAGGTCTAGGGGCTAGGGCGTCGGTAGGGTTTAGGGTTTAGGGTTTAGGGTTTGGGGAGGTTACTTGTTTGGGGTTGATGCCCCACAAACAGGGGTCGCAAAGAAAGCGCCTGGGATCTCTGGGATCGTTGGGATCGTTGGGATCGTCTCCTCCCGAATTGGATCCCAGGACGAATCCCCCGTAGCAGTCGAGGTGTACAGACACCCCACACCCCACACACCGCTCCAAAGACGCACCCGCAGCAGCCTCCTAAACGCAGCAGCAGCAGCAGCAGCAGCACAGGCAGCTACAAGTTTAGCGGGAGCGGCTGCAGCAGCAACAAGGCGCAGCGACACCAGCAGCAGCAGCAGCAGCAGCAGCAGCAGCTTACGCGCATGCAGACAGCGCACAGATCGTCTGCGTAAATGTCCTCTGCCATTGGGGTGTCTTCGCGTGCTGCTGCTGCTGCTGCTACAGCTGGTGTTTCCTTTGGTGCTGCTGCGGGGGGCGCTGCTGTTGCTGCAGGCTGGGGAGCTGCTGCTGCTGCTGCTGCTGCTTCTGTTGCTGCTGCTTCGGCGTCCACCGTGCGCTGCCTGAGGCTGCTGTTGTTGCTGCTGCTGCCTGCGGTTTTGTTCTTGCTGCTGCTGCTGCCGCCGCTGCGCTTGGTGCTGCTAGCTGCAGCTGTTTTCTCTGTCGCAGCAGCAGCAGCAGCAGCAGGCTGCTCTGCAGCAGCAGCACCATAGGGCGGCCGCGACAAAGTCAAACCCCCCGAAAGCGAGGCCCTCTCGAGGCGGATTTGCTGCTGCTCCGCCTGCTGCCTGCAGCAACAGCAGCAGCAGCAGCAACAGCAGCACCAGGAGTCACAAGACGGGGAAAAAAAGGAGGGAAAGAAGACAAGAAAAGCAACAAGAGACAAATGAAGGGAGTGAATAAAATGAAACAAATTAATTTATCTATTTGATTAATTAATTAAATTTATTTATTTGTTTATTTATTTTAATTAATTTAATTAATTAAAAACACACCTGTGGGCTGCGAAGGCCGGGGTGTGCTGCGGGCAGAAAACTTCGATGAGCAGCTGCTGCAGCAAGGGGTCCTCTGTGAGGCCTATCCTGCTGCTGCTGCTGCTGCTGCTGCTGCTGCTGCTGCTGTGTTTGGCTTCTGTGCCTTCTCCCTCTGGGGCCTGGACTGGGACCTCCTCATCGAGATCGATGACCCTCTGCTGCTGCTGCTGCTGCTGTTGCTGCTGCTGCTGCTGGGTGGAGTCTGCTGCAGCAAAGGGCCTCTGGCTGCAGCACACGCGGACGTAGAAGCCATTCAGCCAGGCGCAGTACGGATGAACGAATTTGTTGCAGCAGCAGCTGCTGCTGCTGCTGCTGCTGCTGCAGCGCTTGACAACTCCTACGTCAACACGGCAGACGCAGCAAATAGCAGCAGGGGCCCCCGACCAGCAGACAAAGCCCTGCTGCAGCCAGCGCACCTCCTGCCTCTGCTGCTGCTGCTGCTGCTGCTGCTGCTGCGTTGCTGCTGCTGCTGCTGCTGCAGAAGGCACCCCCGCCAAGCACCAGGGCTCCAGCCGCAAGGTGTCTAGACACCTCGCTGCTGGCAGCAGCCACAGCGCGCACTGCAGGTGCAGCATTTCAACACTGTCGCTTTTTGCTGCTTCTTCCGCGTCCCAAAACCCCTGCTGCTGCTGCTGCTGCGGCGGCTGCTGCTGCTGCTGGAGCTGACTGCGGCGCAGCGAGAGGGCCCTTTTGAAAGCCCCCCCCTTCCTGCCGCAGACGCAGCAAACTGCTGTTGATAAGCTGAAGCTGCTGCGCTGCTGCTGCAGCCCCACAAGTCTCTTTTCCCAGTCGCAGCGCATGCAGAGCCAGCCCTCGCCGCTTGGCGCAGCAGCAGCAGCAGCAGCAGCAGCAGCAGCAGCAGCAGCGGCCGCGCCCCGGGAGCCGCTCAAGCTGTACGGGATTGCGCAGTAGCAGTGCCGGTGTACAGACACCTGGCAGCAGCTGCAGCGCAGCAAACGATTCACTGGGCTGCTGCTGCAGCACCAGCAGACGCAGCAGAAGCCCCCGCTGTCTCCCAAACCCTCGCCATCACCCCCCCCGTCGCCGCTGCTGCTGCTGCTGCTGCTGCTGCTGCTGCTGCTGCTGCTGCTGCTTTTGCGCTTGGGTTCGCTGCTGCGGTTGCTGCTGTCGTTCCCGAAGGCACCAGAGCCGCCCCACTGTCTGCTCTCTGCTGCTGCTGCTGCTGCTGCTGCTGCTTTGGAGCCGCCTGCAGCAGCAGCACCTGCAGCAGAGGGTCTCTGGCCGACGCGCTTGATGCTGCCAGCAGCTCTTCCTGCGTTGCTGGCTGCTGCTGCTGCTCCCTCCCCGCCGCTGCCGTTGCTGCTGCTGCTGCTGCTGCTGCAGGGCTTGCTGGGAGAACACTCGCCGCTGCAGTAAAGGCTGCAAAGGTCTCTGTGGCCGCGGCGCATGCAGCTGACAAGAGAGCCCCAGCGAGCAACAGCAAAATAGCGGCGCAGCAGCAGCAGCTCTGCTGCTGGGGATTCGGAGATGCGGGGGGGCAGCAGCAGCTGCTGCTGCTCCAGGCGGTCCAGCAGCAGCGCGCGGTGCAGAGATAGCTGCTGCTGCAGCAGCAGCGCCCCACACGCTGTTGCTGCGTGGTTTGCTGCTACGAGATCTACGCTGCTGCCGGCGGGAGGCAGCAGCCGCTGCAGCATTGCTGTTGCTGCTGCTCCCGAGCCGGCTGCTGTTGCTGCTGCTGCGCCCTCCGCACCTGCAGCAGCTGCTGCTGTTGCTGCAGCAACAGCAACCTCCGGAGACAGCAGCAGCAGACCTGCCAGCTGCACTGTGTCCCTGCTGCCCGCAGCAGAAGCAACGCCGACACCGCCTGCAGCAGCAGCAACAGGCAGCAGCATCCCTCCTGCTGCTGCTGCTGCTGCTGCTAGTGCCTTGCTGCTGCTGCTGCTGCTGCTAAGACTCGCGCTGCTTCGCGAGCCGCCAAAGGAAGAAGCAGCAGGCAGCAAAGCACCTCCAGCCACGCGGGGGGAGCTAGCTACCGCAGAAGTGCATGCAGGTGCAGCAGCAGCAGCAGATCCTGCTGCTGCTGCTGCTGCCGTAGACAGCGGGCCAGGTGGCGAAGCTGCTGCTGCTGCTGCTGAAGAGGCTGGCAGCGAGAGCGAGGACGGCTCTGTTGCAGTGCTTGGCTTCTGGGCGGGACCCTCCTCCTCTTTCTGCTTCTGCTGCTGCTGCTGCTCTTGCTGCTGCTGCTGCTGATGCTGCTGCTCCTGGCCATCAGTAGCAAGCAGATCCTCCACAGTTTTTAACTCCATGAAGTCTACATACACCCTGGGGCTTCGGCTGCCACTCCTACTGCTGTTACTGCTGCTGCTGCTGCTGCTGGTGCTACTGCTGCTGACGCTGCTGCTGCTGCTGTCTCCGGGGTCTGGGCGGAAGGCAGCAACTCTGCGCCTCAGAAAAGCTGCGGTTTGTTTGCTGAGGAGCTCTATAGACTCAATTTCAACTTCCATCTCGTCTGCTGCTGCTGCTGCAGCAGCAGCAGCAGGCGCTGCCTCTGCCGCGTCTTCTTCCCCGTGCTGCTGCTGCTGCTGCTGCTGCTGCAACTTAGCCTCTTCTCTGCGCAGCAACGAGTCGTAAGCCCTGATGACTGCATGCATTGCATGCGCGTCTCTTGCTGTTGCTGCTGCTGCTGCGTAAACATCCACCATTTGCCGCTCTTCAGTCAGCCTTGCTGCTCTTTCTGCTGCTGCTGCTGCTGCTGCAGCAGCAGCAGGCGCCTTGCGGCGCCGCACAGCTGCCCATCCCTGAGCAAAGCCCCAGTCCAGCAGCACCACTGCCCTTTCTTCTGCATCAGGGCCTCCCTCTGCTGCTGCTGCTGCTGGTGCTGCTCCAGCTGCTGCTGCTGCTGCCGGTGTAGCTGCTGAG